CTAAGCAATGTGACTAACAAGGTTACTAAAACCAAATTAGCCACGCAAGGGAGCTACTTCAACGGTAACTTCACGCGCCAACGGTCAAGATGACCGGACACGCCAAGCCCACAACCTGACATGTCCGAGCCATGTCAGATCGCCGCCGCACGCGCGCACCAAACACCTGACCGACACGCCTCTGCTCCACAACTTGATGTGCCACCGCCTGAGTTAGGTCATTTCTAGAGAGCTCCCCGAGCCTCTGTTTTGTGACCGGACGTGTCAGGTGAGTCACGATCGGACGCAACGCCTGAGACCAATCCTTCACCTCTTGCCACGTGTCAGAGCTACGCCCGCGCCATTGCGTCAGTGTATGTCAGAGATGACCGGACATGGCTCCTGCATGCGTCAAGTCACTCTTTGCACCAGTGTCCGGTCACAAGACCGAGATCACGCGCTCTCTGCTGCCACTTGACCGGACGAGGGTCCTATCGAGGACAGCGTTTGGTCACTCATAGTGACCTCCTTTTGCCTCCTTTTCTTCACAGAGTTGATCCGTTTCAACTCCAACTTCTTTCTCCTTTGCAAATATGCCAAACCACCAAGTGTACACCACCATGTGTATGTGTGTTAGCATTTTCACAATCATTTTTAAGGAGTTAGCCACTCAACTTGCCACACCACTCGATCCTAACACGTATACAAAGTTAGATCGCTCAAGTGACACTAGATGACCGATATACAAACAAGTTTGCCCCTTTTGATAGTATAGCCATCTATCCTAAACCCGGTCATAAACTTCTCTACACACCTATGACCGGTGAAATGAAATGCCCTAGGTTATACCTTAGCCTTGCACATTCAATTCCAACTCCTTCGATGTTGATTTAACACATGCACCAACATGATCGACAATTATATGATCCACTCCATATCATCACATGATTGTATTGGTTCATCGATCTTGACTTCACTTGCTCTTCACCGTTGCTTCGGTCCATCGGCGCTAAGTCATCACTCAACTTACCCTTCACACTTGCAACTGGTCCATCGAGCCAAGTCATGTCTTGATCTTCTCCACCTTGATCTTATGACTAAATGTCATGTCTCATGTGCAATGAGCTCCTTCATCATCACATGTGTAAGCTTTGCAACAACTCCGAGCCATCTTCACCATCATGGCATATATTGCTCACACATATGTACTTGTGGACTAATCACCTATGTATCTCACTCAACCACATATTAGTCCACCTAAGATTGTCACTCAATTACTAAAACCAAACAAGAACCTTTCACTCATTCGCTTTTTCATCCTTCGCTAAGTTTGTTGGCTAAACCAACAAGCGTGTATCTTAACATCTAGGAAATTAATCTTCTGAGCAATTGGATCTCACAGCATATCTGTCTGCTCGCTACTGCAAGGCTGCAATTCAAGATGTTACCAAAGGAAAACCATGATCCGCTTAGCAAGTACGTGCAAGGCCTATAGTTCTAAGTCTAGCATTGTCAACATAGACATTGTCAGCATTCCAGAAACTAAAAGTTTATAACATGCCTTTCTTTTGATGAGTTGCGAGATATAACAATATCAATGTATTATGTATGTTGCAGAAATGTTAATGCTAAGCTCAGCTGCATCATCAAGCAACACAGGAATGCATTACCCCTAGAAAATTTTAGTCTAGGTACTGACCACATCAAAGAAAAGCAGTGGACGTAGACAGAAGGTTGGTCCAAGGTAGTCTTGATCGATGTACAAAAGCAAGAAAAAACTACTGCATCACACTCTATGGTCTACCAACTATGATATGCTCTTCAGCAGCACCTAGACAATTTACGACTTCCAGAGCTCCCTTACTAACTAATCAGAAAAACTCTTCCTATCCTTAAAATTCTCTTCAAGTTTAAGTTGTTTTAGCATATCCACTACCCACAGAACCTTATGCATCTTTCTCAACACATTTGGTTGGGTACAAGGCATGTAGCAGAAGGTTAACATCCACCGATGACATCTCTTTATGACAATAGCAGTTTCGATGCAGTTAGAGAAGAACTTTTCTAGTTCTCGGGTAAATCTTAAAATCAAACCAAGGCTCTAAACTAGTACCGTTCTCAACAATATCATACCAGTACCACATCTTGAAGCCGTAAAATAACGGCACTGCATCGCACACTGTACTTGATAGTCTCTGATTCTTTTCCCAAAGATCCTTCAAAACAAACTTGAAAGTCTTCATAAACACCGCAAGCCTGTTGTTTAAGGGGAGAAGACTGGAATGGTGTGGATGAAGTATCCATCAATATCGATGAAAGTTCTCAGGATGTCAAACCACTCTATAAGATCAACTTTGTAAGTAGTGCATGATTGCTGGACCATGGGAGAACTTCAGAAGTCGTTCCAAAACTTCTGCGCAATTTCAGTAATCTTCCTTGACACTCCCTCCTTCAGAATTAGCCAATAGAAGGAATTTTATACGGTCAAGCCGAATGTGAATCTTTCCCTCACTTGATATAGCAATATTTGAAAGGTGATATACGGTAGCCACTCTTTGTGAACTGTGTTCAAGAACTCGGGCAGAGAACTCATGAGAATCAGGCCATTATATGCAGCTTTGTAGATAAACTCCTGTGGGTTGGTCTCGGGAACATGCACAAGGTCAATTACTGGGTTGATGAATATGTGATAGTCCTTTAGATCAAAGTTTAGATGGGAACTTCCCCCATCAATGCAGAACTCATGTATAGGATTTATTTCCATTGCAACAGCCTACATATATAAAAAAAAATATGAAAGCATGGCAAACTATCAGAAATGAAGCAAAAACTTAATTATAATATTTTTTTTATTTATAACATACTCACTCCGTCCATAAATAACTGTTGTTTTCGTTTTTCGATAAACAACTTTGACTAAATATATAAAAAATATTAATATTTATAATACAAAATTAATATCATTAGATGGATCATTGAATCTATTTTCATAATAAATTTATTTAGAGATATAAATGTTGCACACAATTTCTAAAATATAGTCAAACTTAAGGCACGGAAATAAAAAACGACAGTTATTTAAGGTCGAAGGGAGTATATTGATTTTGAATAACCAAATACTCCCTCTGTCCCCAAATAAATCAATTTCTAGAATTCGTGCCAGTCAAACTTTTTTAAGTTTGACTAACTTTATCGAAAAGAGTAACAATATTTATAACATAAAATGAGCACATTATGAAAATATATTCTATGCTTTATCTAATGATACCCATTTGACACCATAAATCTTGACTTTTTTTTTTAGAAATCTGGTCAAAGTTTAAAAAGTTTAACTTAAGACAACTCTAAAAATATATTTATTTAGAGACAGAGAGAGTATATATGATACAGTTAGATCAGAAAAAGAGGAAGTTCATCAATAAAGATGAGCAATCATAATGGAATTCTTCTTCATGAATTAAAGAAATAAGATGATACTATAGTTGGGGCCTACTTTGACAGACCACCACCTCAAAAAGTGAAGCTGGATTAGGAATTTACCTGAATCCACCGTGAAGCAGATCCATCAGTGGAGCTGGTGGAGCTCGAAGTGTTTGGTATAGCTCCACCTCTATCTCTATCTCACTTCCATCTGGGTCCTATGCGTCAGGGGGGTAAAATGAAAAAACATCCAGGGCTTTCTTCCTCCTCAGGCTCGGGCGCGCAGGGGCAATCCAAGTGGCCCGGCGCGACAGCTGGCCTCGGCGGGCACGGCGGCCGGCCACGTGGTGGGCGCGGCAGCCGTCCTCGATGGGCGGGGGCGTGCGCGGCAGGCCGCTCCCTTGTCCGATGGCGCGGTGAGCTTGGGTCGCATGCAGCCATGGCGGAGGTCGTGGCGCGAGGCGTGCGGGGCCCTGGCACGTGAGGCCACGACGGGCGCTGCGGACACGCCGGAACTCGCAGCCAGGCGTGGGCACGCAGCTCTGGTAGGGCACGACGGTGGCGGATACGCCCAGGCACGGGCGCGGTGGCCATGACGCACGCTGGGGACAGACTACGCGCGAGTGGGTGGGGGTGCCCGCTGTTGCTGAGGACGGCCGCGGGGGACGCGGTGGTCGGCCGCGGTGGTTAGGGCAGCTCGCCGGTCACGGTGGAGGCGAGGATGGTCGCGACGGAAACGACGGGTGAGGAGCGAAATAGTATAAAACGAACCGTTTTCTTTGTGTGATCAGTGGCATGGTGAGTAATTTTTCTCAACTCCATTAAAATTAGATCTAGTGAAGCACCTCTTGAGGAGATCCACCAGGTGGATCTGGAGACAGATCCACCAATTTGGGGAGCAGATCCACTAGTGGAGTTGGTGGTGTTTGGCAATTTTTTTTGAATCTGGATCTAAATTTCGTGGATCTAGAGCTGATGGAGCTGCCCCAAACAGGCCCTCAGAGCCAGTATAATAATAAACTGTAAGCTGGCTAAATGTTGAGGTGGAGAAGAGATGGGAGGAGAGAGAGGAGAAGCGGGCTATAAACTTATAGCCGGTTTGAACATAAAAACCTAAAAACTCTATGTGAGAGACAAGTAGGTCATATATTAACTGTAAGGTCCTGTTTAGTTTCAAAAATTTTTACCCCAAAATGTCAAATCGAATCTTGCGGCACATGCATGCAGTACTAAATGTAGACACGAAAAACAAAACTAATTGCACAGTTAGATGAAAAATCGCGAGACGAAACTTTCGAACCTAATTAATCCATAATTAGACACTAATTGTCAGATACATACAAAAATGCAGCCAAAACAAAAAAAATTTCAACATCTAAACGCGCCCTAAATAACTAGCTAGTATACGAGTACGCGAGCCTTATTTGTCCCCTGATTTAGCACAAAACCGTGTGACGGCGCCGGTAGTTAATCACCTCCCACACGTGGCCACGCACAGCATTTCTAAACCCCGACGCGACCCGCGTGTGCTTCCTTTCCCCAACAGTTCAACTTCCTCCGCAAGCCACCGCGCCAGTCGTCGGACCCCGCCGCCGGCCGCGATGGGTAGCAGGGTGGCCGCGGCGCTGCTCCGGCGGGGCAGGGACCAGGCATCCTCCCTGCTGATGCCTCGTCTGCCGAGGAACGCCCCTGCTCCGGCCCCAACGCCTAGGGTTGGATCCACCTCCTCCTCCCCCTTCTGCGGCGGTGGTGGCGGAAGCTGCCTCCTCCCGCCGAGGCCGGGGCCAGCGGGGGCCTTCTGTTCCGCTTCCCGGTTCGGCTCCTTTCACGCCTTCCGATCCCTCGCTCCCAAGGTCAGCGGGCCTCTCCTCCCCTTTGAGTAAATGTTGATGCCGTCATTTTCTAGATATTGCCAGACCTTCTGTAATTGGACCGCTTTCGACGGAAATGGCTCGGGGCAGTCACTGTACGTAGGGTAATCCCTTTTGTTTTCGACTAACATATGACCATTTTGGGGTGAGAAGCTTGTCTGATTGATATAGCGAATTAGCAATATTGAATCTTGGCTGTATCTGTCTTCCAGAGTTTTAGATACGATGGTGCTTCAGTTGCAGAAATTAATCTCTGCAGGGCGAAATGTTAAATAGAAAATGGTGCTTCAGTTGCAGAAATTACTACAAAAATGTAAATAATTGTTTTTTTTTTGCATGTGAAATTCACACATCAGTACTTCATAGTCCATTTATTAAAAGTTTTAGAAAATATTGGTATGCATTGCAATATACCATTCATTACTTCACCTTGGCATGCTAAAAGGAATTCTCTAAACTACAGCTGATTCATATGTTTGTTTCATTTTAGACCGTATTTGGCCAATGCACAAGGAGAATGTCAACTACCGCAGCAGCACTGAACTCATCTGCGGCCTATGGAGCAGCAAATTCAGGATTGAAGCTACTTGTTACGAAAGGGCCTCAAGCACAGAAGGCGGTCGGGATATGGCTCTTTGGGTGTGCTGCCTGGGTGTTCAGCTTGGTCATACTCGGAGGGATTACTCGGCTCACACGTTCTGGGCTGTCAATGACTGACTGGAAGTTCACAGGGGAAATACCTCCAATTACAGACGATGCGTGGCTGCTGGAATTTGAGAAATACAAGCAGTCACCTGAGTACAAGAGGTAAGGATGCAATCGCTGTCATTTGTTCATACATTGCCTTACGTTTGTCTGCTATTTTTTTATGGTCACTGGTGTAACTAGGTAATGTCCTGTTTTCATGATGCACAACAGCTTATTTTCTTGCATATTCGATTTGATTTCGTGACCCTCTTAGAAGATTCTAAGCATTTCAATGGACACCCCTCTCATGACTTCAGTGATACTAAACTAGTACTACACAGTGCAGTTTGCCTCAGTACTCAATAACTCCCTCTGTTGTTTGAAGGGTATGTGAACAAACATTTACAACAGCAACTTGCATAATAATAACTGTCTCAACTTATGGTATTAGAACATATGAAAGGTTTGACTAAGCTTTGCCATCCAATCCACTTATCCCATTCTGTTTTGACCTTGCATTATGGTTTTGACTTCGACCATTACTGAAGTTGGTTGCCTTCGTTTCTGCCCACTTTGGATCACAGAGAGGGAGAGGGAGGAAAGGGAGAGAAGAAAATGGATCCTTACCAGAGTTATGATATTAAACTAAATGATGGTCTAACCTGTTACAAAACTGCCAAAGTTTGGAAAGCTTAGTAAACTTTAGCTCCCATGTGCATCAAACCAGAAATCCTCATAGTTCTCACATGTGTAACCTTGACACATATTATCATTTTTGTTGAAAGTTTAGAACATTGTAATAAACAACAGTCTGCAACATCAAACAAAAAAAAAAAAAGGGAAGACTACTGTTTTGTGCTATCCTATGTTCCAAATTATAGTTCACTTTAGCTTTGTCCTAAGTCAAACATCTCTAACTGTTGACCAAATTTATAGAAAAATACACCAACATCTACACCATAAAACTAGTTTCTTTATATTTTCCATGAAATATGTTTTGACATCACATTTAACTGAATTTGTAGATGTTAATATATTTTTTTCTAAAAAACTTGTTCAGAGTTAGAGAAGTTTGGCTTAGGACAAAGCTAAAGTGAATTATAATTTTGAACGGGGGAGTAGTAATTGATATGAGTTTGGTAGCAATCTAGAATAGGTAGTTCACATGGACTCTCAGAAACTCTATTTATTTTCCTTTAAATAGATAATGACTATCCCCTTCCTTAAGTGATGCTGCTTTGAATGCCATATTTCTGCTAATGCAATTGCAGCATTCTACAAACATATCTAGGGTGAACAATGGAATGAGCCTTGAAGATTTCAAATTTATATACTGGATGGAGTATGCACACAGAATGTGGGGAAGAGCTTTGGGCTTTGTATTTGCGGGTCCTTTTGCATACTTTATTGCAAAAGGTTATGTTACCCGCCAACTTGGGCTCAGGTTGTCGGTTCTTTTTGCACTTGGTGGTGCACAAGGACTCATTGGCTGGTGGATGGTGAAAAGTGGCCTTGAGGTATTTAGTAGACAATGTCTTTCATGTTTAATTACTTTGAGGCTTTGAACTTCACTATTTTTTTCACCTCAGGAACCAACATCTGAGTATGTTCAACCAAGGGTTAGCCCTTACAGGCTGGCTACTCACCTGACATCTGCATTTGTTATATACTGTGGTATATTGTGGACTGCATTGTCAGTAGTGATGCCTGACCCTCCAACCAGATCAATGAGTTGGGTTAATGGTGCAGCAAAAATCAGAAAGTTGGCAATTCCTGTCAGTGCTGTTGTAGGCATTACTACAATATCTGGAGCATTTGTTGCAGGCAATGATGCAGTACGTGTTACATTCTCTGCGTGTGTTTTGTAGTTTCTGTCTCGAAACTACGTTTACGTTTTCTTTCTTTCATCTAATTATTTATTACTGCTATGACAAGGGGCATGCATACAATTCATTCCCAAAGATGGGTGACAGTTGGATTCCTGAAGATGTATTTAGTATGGAGCCTTTCATACACAATTTTTTTGAGAATACATCTACAGTACAGGTAACTTTTTCTCGCAATGTTAAGTTTACATATCTGTTCATGTTCTCACACAAAGGAGTTCAGCTCCACTTGTTGTCTGGAATATTTTATCTGAGAGTTTTCAGTCACTCTCTTTGCTTCTTGTCCCTTCATCCCAAATCATATGTCGTTTTGACATAGCTTTTGCAATGCACCTAGATACTCCCTGCATTCCAAACTGTAAGTCATTTAGGCTTTTCTAGATACATAGCTTTGCTATGTATCTAGATATACACTATGCCTAGATACATAATAAATAAACACTATGAATCTAGAAAAGCCAAAATGACTTACAATTTGGAATGGAGGGAGTGTATGCTATGTCTAGGTACATAGTAAAAACTATATATCTAGAAAAGCCAAAACAGCATATAATTTGGAGTGGAGGGAGTAGTTTTTAAGCAATTCATTTTGGCAGAACCACAAAATAGGTAGTACAGTGGCATAACAGTTTGTTTCTTCCCCAAAGTATGCATTGACCATTTTGCAAGAAGTGTCATATAAGTATTACAGTAAGTTCTTGTGTCAATATGCATTGATGATCTGATCACCAGTAATTTTGGAGTGCATCACCACAAGAATTGTGTTAGTCCAGAGTTCTTCACCTGTTTTGTAGACTAACAAGCTCTTCTCATTCTTGTAGCTCAATCACCGAATTCTCGCAACAACCACATTACTCTCTGTGGGTGGATTATGGTTGGCTGCAAGGAAAATAGACATGCATCCAGCAGTCAAGTCACTGATCGGAAGCACACTTGGGATGGCTGCTCTCCAGGTAATACATCCAGCTCATATTGTTAGTTCCTGCTAGTAACTTATGTAACTATCAATTGTTGTGCACAATCCGATGTGTGCCGATGTGCCAGATGAAGTTATTGCATCACATGAACAAGTTCATTTTTGAGGCACATGAAGAGTATAACCGAGTCCTAATGAACTAGTGTACAACACCGATAATAATGTTAAATATTCTATTTCAGGTTACATTGGGCATATCTACACTATTGATGTATGTTCCAACCTCGTTGGGCTCAGCGCACCAAGCTGGAGCATTGACTCTGTTGTCACTTATGATCCTTCTCACTCACACTCTAAGAAGGCCGTCACCAGCTCTTCTTAAATCAATTTCATCTGCTGTGAAATCAACCTGATACTACTCCTTGAATTTTTCCACCCTACAATTATGAGTTGATTTTCCTTTCCCCATCCTAACATGCAATGGTGCCCGTGTTTCTTTGCACCACCTAACTACTGTAGCATTTTGGAATTGCTGGAAAAGCATGCAGCTCTTGAATAAAGGGTCCTCAATGTTTTCTAGTGCCAAGTGTTAGAAATCTTTCCTAGCCTTCCTTTAATTGCTGCATTACATTTTTTTGGCACAGCTGTGTGCTCTTCTTGTATCCAGGATGAATTTGTACCGAGAAATTATACACAAGCTTTGGTTCCTTTCTTCCCCGCAAAAGAAAGAAGCTCTATTTCCTTTCTATTCTTATGAATAAACCAGATGCAAAAGAAAAAAAAAAACTCTGTTTCCTTTCTTTTCTTATGCATAAACCAGATCCAGGTTGATCTTTCCCAAATAATTTATAGCTAATCTCCCTCTTACCTTAACAAGATGCTAAATCAACTCACCACCTGGAGGCAGGTTTGATTTCAAATCTCCAAACTTAGTCATGTGCATAAAGTTTTATGAGAGCATATTGAGCCCTGTTATTAAGGGGTGGAACTCCCTCGAATCTGTTCACTCTAGGCACAATTTAGTTTGTTGGCAAGAATACGAAACTCTTTCGGCTTTACAACATGTTTTCGTTTATTAGTGATCAATATAAAAAGACAAAAATATGTAAATGTAGATCAGGTGTCTTGTTCCACAAAGGATGATGCCTTGTTCTTGTTCCACAAAGGATGCATGATGCCTAATGGAACCTCGGCATAAACCATTGAACGAGTTCCAGCCAGTCAAAACAAAGCTAAATGGCTTCAAAGTGCCTTTTCCAAATTTGACTAGAAGTACTAGGAACATGACCGCAATCCCCAAAGACGAAGAGAAACAATCTGTAGTGGCACGGTTCTTTAAATCATAATCATATAGATATATACCCCTTTACCATTAAACATGAGTTGTTCAAGACTCTTTTCTGTATCCAGCTATGAGAGCCAAATTAGAACCTCAACTTGGATGTTGATTCCTCCACCGAATGGCCCCTGTAAAATGTGATGGAACGTAGAGCGTTATATAAATATGCTCATTTAGTCATTTCATTACAAGTGGGTCAACATGCATACAATCTACTGAACCAAGGTACTTCGGTCTGCAAATCGAAAGTCTAATGATGCTTCCATGATCGATATAGTCCTTGATAACCTGGTGCTGCCGAAAATGTGGACCGGGAGTGTTACAGCTAATTTTAGTAGAATATGCTCATTATCGTGGTCAGGAACGCAGGAACAAAGGAAAGCAAACAGAGAAATAGAAAAGAAACCACAAGAATAGAAAAGGGATGTTGGCAAAATAGAGGATTAGAAAATACAGGAAGTAAATGGGAAGACATGTTTGGAACGCAAGAAGTAGAATCAAATAAACTATAGAAATTTGTCAAAAAATATAGAAATAATGAAATGAACTTCAGTGCTTACTACAACAGCTATCTGTGTAGCTGTTGTAGTGTATCTGTGTTGCTCAGTGTACTTTGTGAAGGGAGAAAACCTAGACTCAGACTGGATCTTTGTTTTCCTTTGAAATAAGAACCCTGTAACAGTGTTCTATAGGAAAGGAACCGGATAATCCTTTGATCCAAACGCCATGCTCATAATACTCTATTCCAAACGGGGCCTGATGGTTTGATTCTGAAAATACAGGGTGGCAGATGATTGGTAACTAACGCCATGTTCGTTTGGGCTGGTTTGGCTTAAAGCCATGGCTGAAAGTACTGTTGGCTGGTTTGGTATGAGAGAAAAATACTGTTCGTTGGCTGATAAGCCATGGCTTATAAGCCAAATACAACCAAGCGAACATGCTGTATATATGATTTTCAACCCTGAATTGCAGTATCAAACTCCTAGCCGTCTTGAACTTCCAAAATTTACCAATCACTTAACCTCTCCCTTAAAACAAATTGACTATTTTTTCAGCCTATTGATATCATAGTCAGAAAATTTGTTTGTTTGTGCATAGGGCTGTATAACAAGCTAGCTTAGCTCGTTAAGAAAGCGAGATTAACTCTAGCTCGGCTCGACTTGTTTAGCTCCCGAGCCAGCTTGTTTCACTTGAGTGAGCTTGTGAATAGCTTCAACTAATGAATTACATAGCTACTAATTCGTTCCATGCAAACATCAAGCCGAAAAAAGTATAATGCATGGCATACATTATTTCTTGACTTCAGCCTTCTTGTGACTACATAACATCAAGCCTAATTATTGTTGGTTTGGTTGCCCCATGAAATATTTGGCTCGTTTTGCTCATGGGCTAGCTTGCAAGTCGGCTTGAGCTAGCTCATTAACTTATGATCTAAATTATTAACTCGTCTCGTAAAAAACAAGGAAACAAAGCCGAGTCGAGTCTAAGTTACCAACTTACCATCGAGCCAAACGAGCTAGAAAGCCGGGCCTATTCGGCTGCTGTAAAAAGCGGCTGTTGCTGCTTCAGCGGCTGCAGGCTCTCTCACATAGATACTATTGCAGCAGCTGCAGGTGGCTGCAGCAGCCGCTTTTATGTGTGAGTGTGTGCAGGTGATGTGGTAGCATGAATGTGATACCTAACAAGTTGCATGGGCTTCCGTGCTCTAGATATTATTTTTTACCTATAGAATAATTATTTTAATACTTCTTCTATATTTCAGGTGCCTCAATTTTAAGATAATTTCAGACAATACTCCTATACATTCACTAGTACAAGTAAATTATTACTTTTGTGAGTTGTTATTTGTCTTTGTATCATAACATATCAATTTTTTTGTCCTTATCTAAGTATATAGAAAAAATTGTGAATTGTGAATTGTGTTTGTGTCAATATATATTAGATTTTGTCAAGTTTGTGGTTTTGTCTATCGGGTTTTGTATTATTGGAATAAAAAATTACAGATTATGCCTACATAAATTGTAGCAAACTAAAGCTACAATTTTAGTATAAACTATATGCAATAACCGTTGCCTAAAAAAACTAAAATTCAGAGCAACTCCCTTATTTTAAACCAGCAGGGAGAGCTGGAGAGGTAAGCAGGAACAAGGGTGAACAATAAAAACAAAGGTAAAAAAACTAGAAATAAAGAAGAAAATGCAATAATTAGTTTTTAGTGCAAATAAATACACAACTGCATATATACGGTACATGTTCAGTTTGGTGAAGCTAGATGTCCTAAACAATTCGCCGTGATATATGTAAGTGGTGTCGTCGGTCCTCCACTAACCAATGCCATGTTTTCTGGCTCATAAGTCATGGCTGAAAGTACTGTTGACTGATTTGTTGTGAGAGAAAAATACTGTTATTGGCTGAAAAATACGACTTATAAGCCAAGCGAACAGGGCGAAGTCTCATAGATAAATAATTTAAAATAAACTTCATCTTTTGAACTACATCAGAGGCACAATCTGCCTATATAAAGAAGGACCTGGCTGCTGAGTTCTCTCATCCTCCTCTTCCCGATCCCATATTCCAAACTATCTAGCTAAGCTAGCATCATCAAGATCACCGTGTCCTGCAGCTTGTTGTAAACTCCATGGCCATCTCGTCGAAAACCGTCGCTGCTGTGCTCATCACCATGATGCTGCTCAGCACCACCCCTGCTGCCACCATGAGCACGCACCATTATCCATGCACTGGAAGAAGGGTTCTGCAGGTGCCTGCAGCTGCAACTAACAAGGACACCGATTCGTTCCCACCATCCACTCCAGGCCATAGCCCCAGCGGTGGCCATGGCAGCAGTCCTCCGATGACCAAATGATGAAGCGTACCATGCATCTGCTTGCTCCTGCTCAATCGCTGCATCTGCCATCCTACTGTACATGTAATTTCCGAGATTATATATTCCGTGTGCTTTGTTTTGCTTTGTTGAAACATAAATAATTCTAATGTATAGGGCATCTAGCTAGGCGTTGTTTGTACCGCTCGTTGTAAAACTCTTGCTATCTTCTTGTATTGTATCTAAATCTACAAATATAAATAAAGGCAAAGATTATGCAGCACTTTCAAAAGGCAGGAAAAGGTTTACCAACAGCAAATAAAACATGTGCATCCATGCATATTATGACTACACACTTCATTATTCGGCATGGCTAGCGTCTGGATGGACGCGCGCGTTTGAACGCCAGCGTAGCCTGCCCCGTCCGCTAATTCGCCCTGCCCCGCACACGCACCCCACTCCCGTCACTGCGCCAGCGTGTCCGGACGACTCTCCTCACATGCGCAGTCCGCCCGGTCCGCCTCAACTCGACCTGCCCTGCACCCGCACCTCGCCCCGTCGCGCCCCGACCGCCGGCTCCCAGCGCTCCATGCGCCACGTCCGTCGACCCTCGGCTTGCCGCGCCCCACTCCCCATCTCCCGTGACGTGCCACGATCACTCCACGCGTCCCCTGACTCTCCGAACAATATGAAATATGTGCAACATGAAACACTTGAATGCAACATATGTTTGGAACAGATGAAACATCTGTAACATGCACTTGCAACATATGTGTAAAACATATGCAACATCCAGATAAAACACTTGTTGCAACATAAGACTAAAACAGATGAAACATTTGGAACATTCTGTTATAATAGTGTGAAACATATGCAACATCCAAATCAAAACACTTGCAACATACGTCTGGAACAGATGAAACATTTCGAATAAACGCTTGCAACAACATGCCTCAAAAACACTTGCAACATAAGCATGTGCAACATCTCCAATATACTTTTGCAACATCTATATGAAACAACTGCAACATACTTCTAGAACGTCTGAAACACTTGAAACATATATTTGCAACATAGAGGAGGGGAGGCCTGGGCCGGTCGATTCCGGATGTCGGGGTGGGAGTTGGCGGCGAGCGGCGGCGCGCAAGCACCACTAGCATTCACCACGCTCATGGGTGCCCTTGGCTCGGCTGGGGACGACCCGAGGCGCCCCGGCACATGCGCCCAGCGGCCATCAGCAGGGGCTGCGGCGGCGAGGCATCCCGACGGCGTTGGGGGTTGGGAAAGAGACCGAAGGCGTGCACTCTGCTGTCAGCTAACGTGAGATAGATAGCGAGAGATGGGGAGAGTAGAGGCAGCACATGCAGGATGGGGGCATGGTGAGGAATGGCCATGGTGGGCGGGCCGCGCGATGCGCAGGTCGAATCCGCACGGGCCCATGCGCGCGATGGGCTGGCAAGCTACGGGAGGGAGCAAGTGTCGCGGGCGAGGCGCGTGTCGCAGGCGCGGGAGCGAGCAGCGCGGGCGAAAGTGGTGAGATGGAGTGTGGCGCGCGGCGTCCGAACGGACGGACGCCCGCGTGGAAGCATTATTGTTCATTATTTACCTTTTATGGTGTGTGAATGAAAGACTCGTGTTAACATTGTCTAAGGTGCTGGCATTCGGACATAAGAGCATCTCCAACCGTTACAAAAAATCACTTGTCAAGTTTACTATTTTTCCAACTCCTGGAAAAAGCAGAGAGGAATTTGTTGTCTTTCTCTAGGACCTCGTTTGGATCTTTAGAATTAAATTCATTTTAATAAATTATCATTTAGGCACGTATTAATTAAGTTAATATGGTTCTATATGGAATATATTTGTATACTATTGTTAACAATGGAAGGGAGATGCTTATATGTTACATTTCTCCGATAAGGAAGCGAGTTGAAGAGCGTGCTATAAGTTGAAGAGTGAAAACATAACATTGTAATCTATAGAATTAATTTTCCATCTCTCACCCTATGAATTTGAGATAGGTTTTGTACGTGAACTAATTTGGAAAGTTGTGGAATATCAAAATTTTAAGCCAAATAGTCTAATCCATTAAGTAGATTCTAATTCCTTCAAAATGAAAGGATCGAAACAACCTCTAATAGTTTTCAATAATATGCTCTTGATGAAAAATAAAAAAGGAAGAGAAGGACTACAAGTTGTGCGAGATGAAAAAAACCCACTCGGCAATGTGATTGGGAGTTCTTGGCCATATGCGTAGAAATTGAGAGTCGCTATACAAAACTATTGGAGGGTGATTTTCCCCTTCACTGAGATTGAGAGTGGGTTTAGAAATCAGTTGGAGATGCTCTTACAACGACAAAAGGGACCTCATGTAGAATTAACTAAAACTTTCTAATAAAGTATAGAAATAGTTACCCGAATTTGCATATAAAAGTTCTGTGGTCTAGCCGGTGTGAACTACACTATATGAGCTATAGCAGTGCCATTGACGTTTTCACGATCATGGGCTAGTAAACTTGAGGAGATCAAACATAATCGAGCCTTTGTTCAAAGTCTTTTCTCGTTTATTTGTTTTTTGAACCAACCGAGCAGTAGAGACACTGATTATATGGATAAAATAGAGAGTCCAGACAGGGTAGACAACACATCCAAAAGGAGTTTACAACTGAAAAAACAGAAAACAAGCAACTACAAAGACTAATGCAACTCTGTTAACAACAACCCGGTTACAACAAAGAGCAAGTAGCTACACAACAACTAACAACGAAGACAACACTAAACCAAGAAGCAAAGAAACCTTTGTCACCTAGTCCCAGAAGGCACAAATTTTTAAAACCATCAATGGCGGAAGGAGGTCTGGCAGTGTTTGTATAAACAGTCTGCATAGATTTGAATGGCGTCTACATTGAGCCTCCCATCATTTTCAACAATGTCCAAATCTTTTAGCACACCACGTTGTACAAGTTGAGCACTTTGACGAAGCGTCGATCTATCGTAGGACTTATGCTGACGTCTTGCTGTCATGGGATCAGTGGTGAACGGGGGAGGATGCATAAGTATATAGCAAAAGCTATGTATTTAGAAAATAAAAACATCTAATAATTTGGAATGGAGGGAGTGCTTATTAGACTGAGGAGCTGTTGTCCACAAGAGTATCGTTAATATGAGTTGAACCGACTTAGCAGTAGCTGTAGAGCAGCCACCTCCATGGCGAGCTAGGGGATCGATGTCCTTGCCCTTTTCAGTGAAGTTCTGTTTGAGATCCGGTTCCAAATTCGTGACGCTCTTTCCCTCAATCATTCCTCATTCCTCTTACACCAGCGTCCATGGCTAGATCTAGCCCCTAGACATCCGGATCTAGTACATGGAGGTGGGGTTAGGGTCTTTGGTCCGCTTGTGGGAGACGCTTTGATCCATTCCACTTTCCATTGATTTGCCATCGGTGGATGGTAGCAGGCCCGCCCAAACCCAGATCTGGCGGCTTCTAGATGGGGGTGTTCACACCTATGATCTAGCTTCTAGCAGCTCCTCAACATGTGTTTAGAGAAATGAAAGACGAAGGACAATGGTCTTGACCTGGCATATTATGGTCCAATTTGGATCTAATAGCATTTAATAGTTAGCTGCGCCTAATAGTTCACAGCTGATATACTAACTCGCTATTAGAGGGTGTGATTTGAATTCACTAGATAAAAGGTGGATGGATTTGTTGTTTTGTTTATAACGTCTGTCCTTTTCTATTTGTTATTGTAAGGCATGTGAATAGAGGTAGAGGTAGAAGAGCAAAACATTCCTTTCGCAATTTATTAGCAACTATTAGCTAGCTAGGTTGGGGGTATCTTGTGAGATAGTTGTTAGTTGGTGTTCATCTAACAATTACTAGACCTATTAGTTGGGCCCATTTGGATCCAACCTAGCTAAGCTTTAACAACTAACTATTAGTTAGGTGGATCCAAATAGAGGCCTAAAACCCTGCTTGGATCCATGGAACTAATAGTTAGCTGCTAAACAGTAATTAGTTTATTTAGATTCAAACGGTCCAGCCGGTTAGCTGAATATCCAACTACTCACTATGTCCTGTTATATAAGGCGTAACTACCTTTAATCCAAATACCAAAGAACATATTTAATTCTCTCTCTGGGTGGTAATGGATGCACACCCTTTAGAGGAGGGAGAAAGAGATCACATCTTGCATTATATGAATTAAATAAAAAGTGGTTACACCTTATATATTAGGACGGAGGGAGTAAGAATTTAGGCCAATCAGCTAATAGCATTTAATATTAGCTATGAACTATTAGCAGCTAATGGATCTAAATAAGGTCTAAGTCATCAATGGACCACTCACTACAATACAGTGGCGGACTCAGGGTCCGGTGACCCTGGGCGCCCGCTCGGGCTCCAGCGTCGACATGCCTAAAAAACACAGGATCTTATGGATGCCTTGAGCTTCGTCCGGACTCTATTCAAGCAGTGAGTCCGCTACTACCTCAATCTTCTTTCTTCCATGCATACGTCTCCAATACATCACCAGTGGAGAGCGTGGTATAGCACACTATACTTGGGCTTTGTAAATGTGAAATGGTGTCCTTATTATTATTACATACGGTATGGCATGAATCGTGATGCAGCTGGATTTTGTTTAGGGATGTATAATTGCGTTGAAGGTTAGGTCATTGACGACGACGACGATCTTCTTGTTTGTTCCACCCGTTGACAGGTGTCATATATCCTCTTGGAGCAAAGCAAGTAATCCAATCGGCCGGCCAGATGGCAACTGCATGCCTCTAGGACGTGCAGAGTGCCACTGAGCGATATGGTGCACACGTAGCTACCCAGTATGTACTCAAGGCGTACAGAAGACGACGATAATCTATCTGCGCTTGCAGTTTATCTACCTCTCTCTCTATTCTTCAGAGCTGACTTCGGATATATGGGCGGCTAAGCGGCCAATGACACCCACATTGTATAAGGGCGAGCACGAGCACTATTTGATCCCAGATTCTAGAATCAATTAACAGACAGTTCATTTCATCATCAAACA